TAAATGTGTAAATGTCTTTTTTCGGTGGGCAACGTTAATGACATTGACTGTTTATCAAATTGTGATGATACAGTTACAACGCAGTGAAAAACGAATTATAACACATTAAAATTCTTCGAGGTTAACTAAAGTGCGAGTCTGAGAGTACGAGCCTCTGTGTGAGAGCCACGAGCCTATTTTGAGAGCCTTTAGTTTAAGCATACAACTTTTGTATTTTTGAACTTTTTTTTATAGGAGACTACTATCTGGTTCATATTCAGCTACCTGGTGGATGCACGAACCCGGGAGATAAGTTAACTTCCCTAACTATGAAGCCGTTTAAGTTACTGCAACCCTAAGAATGATCAAGAGTTTTAAGTTCTGTTTAGTGAATAGCGTTGTTACACATTCATATTTGTCTGGTTTGAACCTCTATAACAAATTCCACCAGTGAAATTTTTGCCGAGGAAGGCTAGGTCATTGGTATACCTTCAAAAGGATAGTACTTCATGGATTGATCAGCATCCAATGTATTGTAGAAATTGAAATGTATGCTACTTGCTGGATTAGGCCATAAAGACATAATTATAACAAAACCTATCAAAAAGAGGCCCTTTTTCAAAACAACAAATATCTTAAATAGCAAATTGATGACTTTGAAGGACCGGGAATAAGTAGAATTCAAGTAAGTTTTTAGACAAATTCTTTTGTAAGTCTTGTCATTCAGTACTCCAGTTTCGAGTTCTCTGTTGCTCAGTGTTAGCCTCGATTGGGCATAAAATATTCAGCACTGAGAATTAATGGTGCATACTAAAATTGCAATAAAAATCCAATATTTCTAAGCAGGTTTCTAACTAAATGATCAGAGTTTACTTTATTCACCTTTTCACAGGCATCCTCCATCTTGAATTCTTGACCATAATATTAATGTTTTGGCGCGAAATTATGTATTGGCGCATAGTTAATAGAGGGGAATGGTTATGAAACCTATTGTTATATGTCTTTGTTCACTATTTTTTAAGCGTGAGAGTGCACAATCCTTTGTTTTACCATTGTTTTACCATCGTTGGCAATGGCTGAGTGAAAAGACCTAAATCTTTCTTTTGGCTACTAGTTCAAAACACTTAAAGATTTATAAGAGATATTTGAATATTCCTTACAATAATCCCATAGACAAAATTTATCATTACTTATTTTGCAATTTTGGATGAACATAAATAAAACATTGCGCACTCTCAAGACCGGTTCAATATTAAAAGCGAACAAAGACCTGATCACAATAGGTTTCATAACCTTTCCCTTCTAAAAAAAAAACGGCTCGCGGCACGCATATGAGAGACTCGGGCTCGCAGGCTCGCAATTTAGCAACAACCAAATTCTTCGAGATGGCGAGACAGAGGAGATCTGGTTACGAGACTGCCTCAAACTCTTCTAAATTTTTAGGAAACGTGCTGAAAGGCACGCACGTGCAAACGTTTTCTCTGTTGTTGGTATTCATAATGTTCACATTGCTGGATGTATTGTACATTTTACGACCAACCGATTATTGTTTAAATAGTCACAATAATTTTCGGAAAGAGTTTCACGTGTTTTCATGAATTCGTGATGTTTTGACACGGTCGCTGACTTCTCAAACACCATTGTAACTTTGTAGGATACATCATTACCGGGTAGTCGGCTCATTATTCTTAATCTAAACGATAAGGATATACTGTTATCGATTGACTACTGTTACGATACAAATGTAATACTGACACAAAATATAATAAAAACTGACACAAAATATAATACTGACACAAAATGTAATAAAAACTGACACAAAATGTAATAAAAACTGACACAAAATGTAATA